ACCCTAAAATGCCATTTCATAAGGTTTGTGTTTAAATTCTCACTAAAAATTATTGCATTTTCTCAAGCTATCCTCCAACCAACTGCGAAATTCCTTTTCTGAAGTGTATCCAAACGGAACAGCAGCAAAAATTCCTCAGTGAACAAATCAAAACTGAGCTCATTGACTTCGTATGATGAGGTATGATATGATATCAATATCACTTCATATTATCGATATGAAGTGAAATTGCTGAACGTTGGAATTTTTCATTGAAATACAAGAGGAACGATTCGAAAAATGAATGGGTGCAAATTTTGAACACCATTAAATGATCTCTTAAAGTAGAACGAAACGAAACATTTGCTTAGATTGTAATGTTGCATAATGCTTGAATATTTTGTCTATCCCTTATAAGATGCGGAGTGTAAAAGCATTATATGACGTGCTGCAATGTGTATGATACGATGATACAAAATTGATATGAAATAATCTACATCATAATATAAGATGAAATTGCGAGATATTATCGTCAAAACTGTCACAAAAACTTGATAGAAAATTAAATAATGTGTTTTGCAAATTCAATTTTAACACCAGTCGAGAGATTTTTCTGAATGCACTATGAAGGAATTTGCTTGATACAAAATTGATTACCATCAAACTTGTATAATACTATAAAATAATACTTATTGAACTCTATGAAACATGAATACAATGTTTGCTTTGACAATACAATATAGAAATTGTGTGTGCGTGTGTGCATAATGAAAGCATCATATTTAGGTAATAATAGCATTATGCAATAGATAATCGAATGAATTAATGATTTAGGAAGAATTATTTGAAAAGTGCACTAAAGATCACTCGTTAATCTGGATTCGATTCTCTTTCGAAGCGAATTGAATTGGTTTTGGGACTTGTTTGCATTTGGTGTCGTTAAATCTGTAGGAATGCGATGCACAAAAATGTTTTCGAGCAAATGCACATACAGAGTATAAACAAATAAGAGTATAAACAAAAATTTTGTCGCATTTCATTCAGTTTCTTACGATCACCCAAAATTTTGATGCATATAACAAATATACGTAAGTAATTTAGGTGCTCGTTCACCCCAAATTCTAAAATCTAGATTGCTTCTTAGCTGATGCACCCATTGTCGATGCAATAAAACGGTCGTTTCACAGTCGATAAGATAAGCTTTCTTGCAAACATGAATTAGCTAGCCGCAGCCAATACGCTTAAATTTTAGCTTTTTCATCTGCTCTGAGTTTTTATTTGTTTGTTATATTGCAAAAAGTTAGCGGGGAAAGCGATACTTTCATAGGTAATTGATCATCATAATGATCATTTATTCAGTTCAGCTATGGAGTTCAGATGATTATTCCTAATCAAGTACCAGTCGGCCAATAGGAGATACGGGTAGTGGAAGCATGGAATCCCTCTTCGGATTCACTTTTCAAAACGTGTCCCTCTCAATAAGATACTTTACGATTTAAAGATCCACTTCTTGAGATAGCACGAACAGTCTCTTTTCAATTTTCAACTCTAAGAAGTCAATTGCGAGGCCCTTGTTCTTCTGTAAAATCGTGATTGATTTCTGGAGATGTGGGTAATGGAATCATGGAATTTTCTCTAATGCACAAGGGAAATTTTAAATCAAAAACAGAGCACATCAAAACGGTATCATAAAATGACCACTAAAGTACACTCGCGTATGCTGTATAATTACGATTAAGATTGTATTATCTATGAGAGTCTTGCTGAGTGAGCATAGAAATGAACAGATGGATGAAGTGATTGCCGCGGGCGATACATCTTTTTTGAAATCGAACTAACCATAAACTTGCCACCCTACCATCAGCAAAGGAATGTTTCCCATTGCTCGCACCACACACCAAAAAGAGCAAAAATACGCGAGAACCTGTTCATGCAAGAGCAAATTTGTAACTAAAATTCAAGATTTTCATTTTACAGTGTTCCGCAAAACATTTTACATTGTTAAACACTTTAGAAATGCTCCTTTGAGCATCTTAAGAACATCACCAATTCTTCTCAAAATAGCAAGTTTTTGCTGATGTTTGGTGAAACTTGAACACTTTTGCTTGATTCGAAAATTATTCATGTGAATCACAAAAGAATTTTTTTTTTTCAGATGGAAAACATCAGTAATTTTTTGGAAGCAATCAAAGCGTACGGTGTTCCCGAGATTTCTTGCTTTCAAACGGTCGATTTGTATGAGAATAAACAGTGCTATAAGGTGATCGAATGCCTTAGAGCATTGGCCGCAGTTGTAAGTTTGCATGACGTGCATATGAAGTTTTTTTTATTGCGAGCAGAACGGGGACCCCTTTCATGAAATATGGAATAACTGGAATAATCCGCAGATTTTGCCTAGTCTCGTAAAGGGTGATCTTGCCCTTTAGAGATCGAAGTTGTTTCATGGAAAGACTAATTTAGCAGTGGAAGAAGGAATTTTTAGGACCATCTAATTGCTTTCTTGACTGTCCTCGACGTACTCATTGAATACTGAGGCAATTTGAAGAAGAGGACATGATTTAGCCACGATCTTAGCCTAAGAGCAAGAAAATTGGCTGCTGGAAAAGGCTGAAAATAGTCAATTTGATTTGTTTACTTCAGAGAAGACTTGGTTCAGTATATTTATTACTTTAGAATCACGAATATTTCAGTGAATATAATTGGTGATGGATAGTTATCAGCCTTTATCGGTTATTATCAGCCAGAATGATGAGATGAGCTATTGGTTATGAGAGGGATTGATTATGTTTTGTTTTTGTTTCTTGGATTATATTTTCAAAATATAAAGTTGAATTTGGTCGAATGTTTGTTAAAATTATAAAATGCTAATATTTAAGGCTCAATCCAAGAACGCTCCAGTTGTCTTCCCAAATTGGGTTGTTAAAATCTCACAAGGCCGTCCCAGAAGTTTCCCTGAATCAGTGATAAGACAAGGTGAGATGGTGATCCCATTGCAATACGGTACGAATAAATGCGCATCACAGAAAGGAATGACCCCGTACGGATTGACCAGGCAGATCAAACCTGAACTCTGATCGAAAACTGCTGCTGCTGCTTGTGAACGATTTTTTTCGATGTTATATTTTTATTTTGAACGATCAAAATTTCCCATTTTTCATATATATGCAAATTCGTTTATTTTGAAAGATAATATTATCGTTGTAATTTATGTCTTGTAAAGATAATATTTTGAGAGATTATCATTACTTTTGATATTGTTATTATCTTTATCATACTTCTTAATTCATTATTATCAATCGCTCTAGTTTCATATCGTCATTACCATTGTTATCATCACCTTCTTATCTCAGATCACTAAGACAATTAATATTACTACTGCTTCAAATGATTTTGGTACACTCGTTCTGTAAAGTAACCAAGGGACATACGCTGAAAAAAGTTTGCTTTTCTTCGTAGATATATATGTCCACTTCAAATGCTTGCGTTAATGCAGGGTTTCTTAACTAGGGGTATATGGACCCCCTGGTACATGACGGCATGTCAGAGGGTCCGAGAGAGGGTGGGGTGAGCGGGGTTACGGAAGGGGTGCGAGATAAGGAGGACGGTACGAGGGTATCTCAAAATTTTCTAGAGGGTTCACGGAGCAAAAAAGGCTGAGAACCACTGCACTAATAACTTCTATTCTCAAATGCTTCTTGTTCATAAGTTATATGTTAAAATAAGTTAAGTTACATTTTCTGCATTGATGATATGCCTCTATAATGAACAATCAGATAACGTGCGATCTAAAAGACTTGCTCCATTGCGCTATACAACTAATAGAATTGAGTCGAATCAAATACTGTTTCATTGTCACTGACGACAAGTTCAATGAGAGTAAGCGAACTGATTGAGAAAATATCATTGAGCAATTCTCAAACATTTCCCACTTTGTGTACATAATTGCGAAGTTTCATCAAACAAAAATTGAATTTGTACTCTCAAATTC